ACAACAAAATCATCCCCCCCCCCCTCTTCTTTCTCGTTCATGAAAAGTGTTCACACTTTTTTTAGCCTGACAGCTAAACATTGAAGTCGTGGATGACGTAAGAAGGTCACAGGTTACGTAACATCAGTTATGTCATAACAAAGTGTTATGTAACGGAATAGTTGGTCTCGAATTTGTGAGTTGTGTTTCTAAAACACTCAAAATTAAGTCCTGTCATCCCTTTTTTCACAATGGATTGATCGGTTCTGTCACCCCCTACTTCTTTTAGTAATGGCTGTTTTAATTTGTATTGGTTTCAAACGAATGGACTCTTCCTAAAAGAGGTGTTATGATGCTTGAAAGCATTGTATTATCACATGTAGTGGTGGGGGTTAGGGCAATGGTATAAAATTAATTTGGGTTTGGTCTAGGTTTAATAATTAGATATAAAATGGTTATTTTCAATTAGTAACTGATTGATAAACAACTTTTAGTTTCTTATTCGTACTTTAACACCCCTTTCTCGGATGATTCCATTGTTACTGCATTATTGAAAAGTGGTACAAAAATCAAACACCCTACTCACCCCCCCCCCCCCCCCCCCCCCCCCCCACCTTCCCTCACTTTCTAGTCGACGATTTCTGTTCACTTTTTAGCGTGTAGCTTGGAGTCGTGAATGACGTAACAAGGTCACAGGATACGTAATATCAGTTACGTCATTACAAAGTGTTATGTAACGGGGTAGTTGGTCTCGAATTTGTGAGTTGTGTTTCTAAAACACTTAAAATCAAGTCCTGTCATCTCTTTTTTCACAATGGTTTGATCGGTTCTGTCACCCCTATTTCTTTATTTAATCGATTGTTACGCGCACTTTAAAAAATGTCTTAATATTGGTATCAAACTAATAGACTCTTCCTATAAGAGGTATGTTATAATGAAAGAATCATAGTATTATCACCTACAGTAATTCTGGCAAGGATTAGGGCTTTGTTATAACTTGGATTTGGGTTTGATTAATAATATGTAATAGTTGGCTTTCAATTACCATACTGGTGGGTGTTTTTATTTTTAAAAAAAAGTTTAGGCCTAATACTTTGTTGCATCAAAAGATACTGATGACTTTCTTTAGCGTATAATACGTTGTCGAAAATGACGTAACAAGGTCACATGCTACGTAACATCAGTTACTTCATACAGAAGTGTTCTGTAACGGGATTGTCGGTCTCGAATTTGTAAGTTGTTTCTAAAATACTCAAAATTAAGTCCTGTCATCCCTTCATCAAAATGGATTGTCTTTTCTGTCACCCCTATTTATTTTAAAAATGGTTTGTCCTGTATACCCGTCGTAAAAGAAATGCTTAATATTAGTATCAAACTAATAGACTCTACCTATAAGAGGAGTGTTATGATGTTTAAACCATTGTATTACAGTAATAGTTGCTATGATTAGGATTAAAGCAATGGTATAACTTGGGTTTGGGTTTGATTAATAATATATAGTGATTGGCTTTCAATTACCGATGGAAGATTTAATAAACAACTTAAGTTTAATAATTTCCGTAGACTAACACCCCTTTTCAGAAGATTCCTTATTTATTTCATTATTATACAGTATTGCCAACAACAACAATAAAATAACTCCCCCCCCCCCCCTTTCCTTCACGTTCATGAAAAGTGTTCACACTTTTTTCAGCCTGACAGCTAAAAATCGGAATCGTTAATGACGTATTATGGTCATAGGTTACATAACATCAGTTATATTATAACAAAGTGTTATGTAATGGGGTAATTGGTATCGAATTTGTGAGTTGTGTTTCTAAAAAACTCAAAAAATGAAGTCCTGTCATCCCTTATTTTCACAATGGTTTGATCGGTTCTGTCACCCCTATTTCTCTCAATAATGTAATACACAAAAATTGTTTCCTTTTCCGCAGGTGAAACCCCTATTTCAGAAGATTCCATTATTATTGCATTATTAAACAGTGATGATGAAATTAAACTCCCCACCCCCACCCCCTTTCATTGTTGCATCAAAATATACTGTTGACTTTTTTTAGCGTGACAGCACGTTGTCGTAAATGACGTAACAATGTCACAGAATACGTAATATTATATATATTATATTATATATATATATATATATATATATATTAATAATAGACTCTTCCTATAAAGGGTCATTCATAAATGACGTCACGCATTTTTTGACGATTTTTACCTCCCCCCCCCCTCCCCTCCGTCACACGTCGTCACAAAAAGCCAACCCCCCCCCCCCCTAAAATGACGTCACACCGCAGCCTACAACCCCCCCCCCCCCCCTCAAAATTGCAGTAAATTTTTACTTTCTCGTATATACGTAGTATAGAGAAAGTATTGTAATCGTGCAAAAAAAAAAATCGAGATTTTTACAAATCTCGACGTTTTACACCTCACTGATACGGAAAAACATAATTTTGCAATCTTGTCCGTATGTCTGTGTGTGTGTGTGTCTGTGCGTGTGTGTGTCTGTGTGTAAACACGATAACTTGAGTACCGTTACAGCTAGGTTGATGAAATTTCATATATAAGTATTTTATCAAAATCGTAGATCCGTATCAACTTTTGAGCGATTTCCGATAACCGGAAGTGGTACTTTTCCTACTTTGAATTTTTTAAAAGCCTATAACTTGAGTACTATTTCAGATAGATAAATGAAATTTCACATGTAAGTAAAAGATCTAATTCTCTACCTTCTGTTAAATTTTGAGTAATTTCCGTTGACTGGAAGTAGTAATTTACGCTACTTCCGATTTCTCAAAAAACTAATGTAAATTTTTAAAGTACTAATAATATTGCGCACTATTATACGCGTTTTTATTCGGCGTTTGCTTGGTGCGCAATGTTTTTTTTATGATATTCTATTCTATTTTTAAAAGTTTAAGTATTTAAAATGGATTAAAAATCATAACTATATCCCCAGTTACCATCCCCTGTTGTTTTATATAAGAATATTCGAGAAAGTTTAGGGGAGATCACTACCGGTTTATTTTTTAAACATCGATATTTTTCAAAATCTTGTCTGAAATATGTCAAAATAGAGTATTTAAATCAATTCCTATTATAATTTATTAAAGCTGTTTTCTAAAACGCTAAATAACATCTAAAATTCGTTTTCTAACATTTCTTATCTATGAAGCAAAAGTGTGACGTCGAACCATCTGAACCCCCCCCCCCCCCTTTCCCTCTCATCACACATCGTCACAAAATTACCGACCCCCTCCCCCATACGAGTGTGATGTCATTTATGGACGACCCCTAAGAGGTGTGTTATAATGAAGGAATCATAGTACTACCACCTACAGTAATTTCGGCAAGGATTAGGGTTAGGGCTATGGTATAACATTGATTTGGATTTGATTAATAATATATAATGGTTGGCTTTCAATTACCGATGGATGTTTAATAAACAACCTAATAGTTTAGGGCTACTACATTCAGTAGGCTTACACCCCTTTTCAGAAGATTCTATATTTATTAAAAAAGTTCTTCCAACAACAACAAAATCATCCCCCCCCCCCCCCTCGATTTGGTCACGTTCATGAAAAGTGTTCACACTTTTTTAGTCTGACAGCTAAACATTGAAGTCGTGGATGACGTAAGAAGGTCACAGGTTACGCAACATCAGTTATGTCATAACAAAGTGTTATGTAACGGAATAGTTGGTCTCGAATTTGTGAGTTGTATTTCTAAAACACTCAAAATTAAGTCCTGTCATCCCTTTTTTCACAATGGATTGATCGGTTCTGTCACCCCTTACTTCTTTTAGTAATGGCTGTTTTAATTTATATTGGTTTCAAACGAATGGACTCTTCCTAAAAGATGTGTGTTATGATGCTTGAAAGCATTGTATTATCACATTTAGTGGTGGGGGTTAGGGCAATGGTATGAAATTAATTTGGGTTTGGTCTAGGTTTAATAATTAGATATAAAATGGTTATTTTCAATTAGTAACTGATTGATAAACAACTTTTAGTTTCTTATTCGTACTTTAACACCCCTTTCTCGGATGATTCCATTGTTACTGCATTATTGAAAAGTGGTACAAAAATCAAACACCCTACTCACCCCCCCTTCCCCCCCCCCCCCCCCCCCACCTTCCCTCACTTTCTAGTCGACGATTTCTGTTCACTTTTTAGCGTGTAGCTCGGAGTCGTGAATGACGTAACATGGTCACAGGTTACGTAATATCAGTTACGTCATTACAAAGTGTTATGTAACGGGGTAGTCGGTCTCGAATTTGTGAGTTGTGTTTCTAAAACACTCAAAATCAAGTCCTGTCATCCCTTTTTTTACAATGGTTTGATCGGTTCTGTCACCCCTATTTCTTTATTTAATTGATTGGTATCAAACGAATAGACTCTTCCTATAAGAGGTGTGTTATAATGAAAGAATCATAGTAATATCACCTACAGTAATTTTGGCAAGGATTAGGGTTTTGTTATAACTTGGGTTTGGGTTTGATTAATAATATGTAATGGTTGGCTTTCAATTACCACACTGGTGGATGTTTTAATAAACAACATAAAAGTTTAGGCCTACTACTTTCCGTAGCCTAACACCCCTTTTCAGAAGATTCCATATTTATTGAACAGCTGTGCCGAAAAACAACAAAATCAACACTCAAAATTAAATCCTGTCATCCCTACTTAAACAATAGTTTGATCTGTTCTGTCACCCCTACCTCTTTTAATAATGGTTTGTCCTGTACAACCGCCACAAGAGTATGTCAAAGAGTATGTTAAGTAGATATAATATCCACATTTAGTAGTATGACATTTATACTTGTTCATCATTACCTTTTTACAAACACCTTCAAAAGTAACTAACTGGTTATAAAAATTTGCCTTTCAATCTGTAAAATTGCTACATAATATAGACTGAAGCCGGTCCTTCACTTATGTCTAACATAACTGTAAAGAACATTACTAAAATCCGTACTGAACATCACATTTTACTCAAGAAATAACACTAAGTTCATAAACAAGTTCACATTTATTTATTGGATAATTTCATAATTTATTATATATACAGCCAATTTCAAACAATTTTAGCCTAATCAATTTTTACATTTTAGACACCCTTCACAATGGCAACTTCTAGTGAAAACGTGTATTGATGTTTGCTTATTACTAAGTGACAATTGAGTCTACTATGATATTTAAGTACACATAGTGCACCAGAAATACAAAACTTCTTCAATTAGATCTTCAATACAATTTTTTTTTACTCAAAATTTAGTAATTTTTTTTAATACAATGTAATAGATACTATTGCAGGAAAATAAACAAAAATATGGTCTAATTTTATAATTCGATAATTTCAGAAAAAAAAATTAAGTCACTCAAATATAATGTAATATTCAATACTGGTATTATCTAAAAAAAATTATGTTACATTTTATCTGACAATTATTGAGTCCAATTTTAAACTGTTAGCAGGTGAAGGACAATAAAAACCCAATGAATTGGTCATGAAAAAAGTTCCCAGCAGAAACAGAGTAGATTTATTGCTTTATAAAACAATACATGGTGTGGCTCACTTAAAAAATAATGTATCCCTTACCTAGACCAGGGTGCATACACTCCATTTTTTGTTGGAGATTTAAACACCATTTTGTTCACCAGAGTGTCATGGTAAAAAACATTTTGACAATTCCATTTCACCAAGTAGGCCTACTTATACAGAAATGTTTAGAAAAACAAAACTTTAAAGCATACTTGTGAATAATTTTAAAAAACTGGAATTAGAACATAATGGTTCTGAGGGATTACAAATACAAATGGTAGCTGCAGTGAGGCTAACTATGGGATGTGACATCATCATCACGCTCACTTCTGCCCTTCAACCGCATCTAGGATAGGTCATCTAAGTGAGCTTAGCTAGCATCTAGAACAATCGAGAAGGTTACCACCACATCCAGTCCGTAATCTAAGATCAGGATGTCAATAAAAAAAAGCTGGAGGCCTAAGGGTAATAAAAAAAATCATTAGCTACCTATGATGAAATTTCTCAGGAAGAAGACAAAGAAGCAGCAGAGATATCAGACAGGCTAAAATCACAGGCTCTTTGTGCTGGCTTCAACATAGTTAGCAAACATGGAGAAGAAAGCTCAAGTCCATGAGGTACAAAGAGAACCAGAAATGAGGGGCTGTCAAGCCAAGGGTCGTGTGCCTTCAAGTCACTGCGCCTGATATGGAAGTGTACAGCCCTGTCACTCCAGAGCAAGATAAACATTTTCAATACAAATGTCAGGGCAGTGCTGCTCTATGGCTCTGAGACCGGTTACAAAAGCAAATACAGATAGGCTACAGTCGTTCACAAGTAAATGTTTACGACAGATCCTCAAAATAAGATGGCCAAACAAAAAAATCAAATAAAGACAATGGCTGTTATTTTGTATTTTGTTTGTAAGGATATCAAGGCCCGTAAAGGGGGATGGATTGGACATCTTGAGATGGACTGGAATCCCCAGGGAAAAAGGAAAGTGGGCAGGCCAAAGAGATCATGGAGAAGAGCGGTAGAAGACGAGACAAAGGCAGCTGGGCTGACGTGGGCACAGATCATAAAGGGAGCAGCCCAAAACTGAGTCCGGTGGAGACGTGTAATTGCAGCCCTTTGCTCCCCAGGGGCTACGAAGGATAAATGAATGATGATGAAAGCTTCAGATTGAAGTTTCTCTGATCTGCCAGAGCTGTTTAGCCAAGTGTTTGACTGCTGCATACAGAACCATTGAGTCTACTGCAGGTACTTTGGTGAACATGGACATTAAAGATGCACCAGGGAAAGGTTACAGACAAGAGCAAGGTTCAAACACCACCTACAGTCCCAGCCTTAAATTTTGTTGAAACACCACCCACAGTCCCAGCCTCAAATTTTGTTGAAACACCACCCACGGCCCCAATTTTAAATTTTGAATACTTTCTTGGACTACTTAAATAAGCTTGTAGCACATGGACTTGAAATAATGGAGACGGTAGGTTTTCTCGTAGGTCAGCAGATTACTGCTGCCTTGGATAGTGTGAAGACCATCATATGCAGTTTAACAAATATATGCAACTTGGTCATTGGTTGTGTTTGATGTATAAGGGACCTAATAAAGTTATATTAATTTTTATTTTTCAAAAAAATAATAATACTAATTAGATAATAAAAAAATAGCTTGTGAGTAACTAACACTATCTGTTTTATTACTAAATGGTTCTGAGGGAAGCAGTATATGGAAAAGCCTAAGTAAAAATACTCAACAAAGAATTTTACATTATCAAGTTTTTCTTTAAGTCAATTTCTGGTCTATTGAACAAGTTTTGTACAATAGCATGTAAAAAAAATCTACCACTATATGTTTAAAAAAAAACTGCCACCATGCATCCAATATTAAATATTGAGTTTGAATTGTAAAAAAACAAAAACTAGAATATTGCCCCAGATTGTGTACAAGAAATATAAATATAGAAACAAGTGAAACCCCCAAGCAGGTACAAAATAATTTCCATTGAGCAGTGGTTGATATCACTTTGATAATAGTCATCTGGATTGAGTCTTTTGATCACTGCATACAATGTGTAGGCCAGCAAGCTTTGATTACAAACTAGGCAAAAAAGGGGAGAGCATTCATCATAATGTAGTACAAAAGGCCTTGAGTTGGATTTTTTTTTCTAGCAATATGATGTATGTAGGTACAGTTATCAAACAAATGTTTACTATACAATCACAATGTTGAGCACATAACAATTTACTTCATTATGTTTGCCTGGCAAGGTTGCCATAGTAACATTCAAATATTAATAACCAGGATTTTTAAAAATAAATGAACAGACTCCACAAGATTTGTTTAATATCAAACATCAACTTGGTAACTCTGCATTATAATGAAAAGAGAACTGAATTTACTTGACTAAACTGAAGGCAGAATTAAAAAATCTTAAAGGCTAATTTGTTTCAAATGGACAGAAAGAAGTTAAAAGCCTAATTTTTTGTTTCAGATAGACAGAAAAAAGTTTCAAGTAATTTTTGTTTCAGATGGATTACAATAAGTTATGACTTAGATAAATAATGAAACAAGTTTGACAGAAGCTCTAAGAATAACCCTATGGAAAAAAAAAAGCTGACAAAAGACTTGAGCACATTAAAAACAACAAAGTTAGCTGCAGAGGAAAATATCAGCCAACTGCTGGAGTGTTTTATACCGTTTAGTAAATAGATATTTTTTAAAGGCAATCGTATGGTACCATTATTTATTCCACTTAAAGAGGAGGATTTGGCTTAATCCAAGGTTATAAATAAGAAAACATGAATACAGTGAGTGTTCAATTTACAGAGAATAATGTGGGGGGAAAAAAGGTGAAAGTAATTCATTTCAACAACATACCAATAAAGTAATTCACATCAACAATATACCCAATTAAAGTATTTTAATAATTATTTCAGAATTTTAAAAAAGAAAAAATATATACATTGAATTGAAATTGTTTAGGCAATAGTTTCCCTGTATTTGCCTTATTTGTTATACCTCAAGGGAAGACATTTGATCAGTGTCAACTGTCTTGTTGGGGTCGCACCACTTGTCCACACTACAGTAGGACGTGTGGATGGTAAGATAGTGAAAATAGAACTTTTCAAAGCAGGGAAAAATAAAAGAATGACAGAAGGGAACAAAAATTCTTTGGATCAAATTTACCCCTTAACTCAAGGAAAACAATAATTTTGACAGAGTCTTAGAGTCCTAAATTATTTAAAAATGCACTCATATACAAAATCAAGTTTTTTAAAAATATAAATTCATAAATAAATGATCAAAAAAATGTTCTCCACAGAAACCAATTGCTTTTAACTCAAAGCTAGATTGTAGTTTGTAGTTCACAAATAATTAAGGACTACTATATAACATTTAAAGTTAGCTTAGATTGCCTACACAAAAAAAGTTATTAATAACTTTGCAAACATTGCAATATCTTTTTTATAAAGCTTAATTTTAAATCTGCTGAAATGAGTTCTCATGCTTTTTAAATTACTTGGACACTTTTTAAAAAATCTACAGTAGAAATAAATGGTTGTTGAATTTGCCTTTTTTGAACTCTGCGACTTGAGAATATAAATATAAAATACATCACAGGAATCTAACAGATATTACATAGACTAGAAAACTGACCACTGCTATAGATGCACATTTTAATTTAAATAAATTTAAGTCATAGTTATATACCAAGAAGACGGACACACTTATGAGAACTTATGGTAAAACAGATAATAAAAGTATTAAAAGTTGTAGTTACAAATGATAGTTTTCTTTTCATTATTATCTCATTAGTCTATACATGGCTGTATAGATCTAAAGACATTAAAAGGTTTATAATGGTCAAATCAAAGTGACATGGAAAGGCACCAATATTTTCATGTTTCTGCTAAGTGGGAAAAGATAACAGCAATCAAAAGAGTAAAAATACAAGAAATTTAGCACATAAAAAAACATTACATCAATTACAAAACTTTTAAAATATTTTGCTTAATTAGACATCAATACAAAAAAATATACCAGGAACAAGACATTAAAAATATTTTGTTAAATTAGATACTGTAACAATTAAAACCAGTGGCTAATAGCATGAAAATGTTGAGTGTAATTTGGTAATTTAAGTTGATGTAAACATGTGAGCCTCAACTTGTCAGGCTCAGTCTGAACCATGGTTTGATGAAACAAACAAATGACTAAACATAAATAGATGTCTTTATAAATTGTGACTCAAATTCTTTCTTGCTCAAATTATCACATAATTTCTATACAAAAAAAAAAACTAACAATAAGGGAACAATATTTATCTCTACATAAATATACCAACGCAGTTCAACTTCCTACCAGCATAACAAGAACATGACACTACAGACTTTATAAGGTTTATTCATTAGGGTTGAAAATAGTCTCAAAATGAGACCAAGTATTTTAAACATTTGAAAGGAATAAATTAAATTTAAAAATATAATACTGCAAATGAATTGGGAGACACCAACTATTACATGACAGTCTAAAGCTTCACTGGCCAAGGATGTACCAAGACACACAAGTATGATATTAAAAAACAAATCTATTTTAAAGAAACAAATAAAAACACTTCTTTACTGTCTTGGCATCCATTAAGGAAAATTTTCAAACCACAATAATTCCTAAAACTGAACAGTCAATATTTTTTGCAGTAATTTTTCAAATTTGATTTAAGAAATATTAATATAAACACTGATACATGTTGTTTGACATTATGTAAAGGTTACAATTTTAGAAAAGAGCATTTTTAAATATTAAAAATACACATCAATATGAGTTCACAAATATAAATTTAAATAATTCTTTTAGGAATTTTTTTTTAAATGGGAATTCCCTTTGAAAAAAAAACAATAACAATTGGCTGTGATATAGGCATTCTTGATATGCTAAGTCATGGGTTCCCAAACTGTGTGAGTCACATGTTTTTTAATTGAAAGATGTAATCAAGTTGTTCTTGGAAGTGCATGGCCTTTTGATATACTTAAACGACAAAGAGTGGTTGGAGAGAGTAGCATACCTAGCAGATATATTCAAACATCAACATAAGCTTAACCTGAAGCTTCAGGAAAAAGAAGCAAATATCTCATGCTAATCTCTAGGCAATTTTCATCATAATTGCTAAATTAGCGAGGAAAAATTAATCTTGGAAATATTGCCATGTTTAAGAAACTCTGCAGTGTGGTAGATGAATCTAGATCTAGTTGTTAGATAAATAAAAATTTCAAAAAGGAGATTTCTGGCCATCTTGAATCTCTTGAAAACAAACTGTGGAGTTATTTCCCTGCGTTGAACAAAGGAGAAACTACATTGACAATTACCCATTATTTGCTTCCCTTGTGATGTTGCTAGCATTCCCGATGAAATACAAGAATAATTCTTGGATTTGCTTAATGATTCAGTAGCAGGCACTTGACACTGATTGCCTTTTGAATTTTAGTTCCTTAGCGAGAGTGGATTTTCAACACTTCTCAAATTACAAGCAAAACAAAGAAATAAATGTTGAGAATGACATGGGGTTAGCGTTAACAAACACTCAACTGTGAATTTTGTGGCTAGTTAATAGCATTACAATTACATTAAAACAGTTATCAAAAATAATTTAAATTATACTAGAATATCTTATTTTGATGTTTATTACTTTACTTACTAATTCCGATTTTTTAATTCTATGGGGGCCACAGGTCACTCCTTTTTTATAAAAGGGGGTCGTCACTCAAAAAAGTTTGGGAACCCATGTGCTAAGACATCTAATAATCATTTACAATCTTCTAGTGAAAAATTTTGATCATTAAAAAAATTACTCACTACATTATTGTAATAAACAAGCAAATTCTTTCTTGAAGTTATAAATCATTTTTAAACTTGTAGCAAAATACAGAATGGGCACAAAAAAGATTACTTTCAACATAAATAATTGATTCTAGCCTAAGGTCAAGAAACTAATGGGTGTAAATATATGATCAAATGTTCCACATCAAATGTCTACATCACAAATCATAGAAAATTACAAAAATGTTAAATATAATCCCTGGATTCAACTACATACAAATAGGATATTCCCAAATCATTCACAGCGAATTGCTTACAGTAAACAAATGCAACAAATAAATTGTACTTGTTTGCCATTCAATCAGAAAATATAATTTGTATCAAATTCAATTATATCATTTATTCAAAGAATTTTGAAATATGAGTGTAAGGAATATAAAATAAATTAACCAAGAAAAAAAATATGCAGTCAAAAGAAAAACCACATGTGTACAGTGCTAAAATAAGATATCTGGTCTTGTCTTAAAATATCTAAGTCTTTTGTTTACATCTACTAACGGTCTTTTGTCTTTAACTAAATATCCTAGTCTTTTGTCTACATCTAAAGCATACTGGTCTTTTGTCTGTAACTAAAATATCCTTGTCTTTTGTCTACACCTAAAGAATAAGGTCTTTTGTCTGCAACTAAATATCCCAGTCTTGAGTCTCTAACTAAATTATCCTAGTCTTTTGTCTGTACCTAAAATAAAATAGCTTGATCTTTTGTCTTGTCTATAACAAAGCCTGTGAAACGCCTGAGGAACTTAGGATACTCCCTCTTGTAGACAGCCCTCAGCACTGATGCAGGAGCCCAGCCACCAGGGTTGACTGGAAAAAAAAAATTAATCAAGTTAATTGGCTGTCAAATACCATCAAACATAGGTATGTTTCATCTAGTTAATTGGCTGTCAAATACCATCAAACATAGGTATGTTTCATCTAGTTAATTGGCTGTCAAATACCATCAAACATAGGTATGTTTCATCTAGTTAATTGGCTGTCAAATACCATCAAACATAGGTATGTTTCATCTAGTTAATTGGTGGTCAAATACCATCAAACATAGGTATGTTTCACCTAGTTAATTGGTGGTCAAATACCATCAAACATAGGTATGTTTCATCTAGTTAATTGGCTGTCAAATACCATCAAACAGGTATGTTCCATCTAGTTAATTGGCTGTCAAATACCATCAAACAGGTATGTTTTATCTAGTTAATTGGCTGTCAAATACCATCAAACACAGGTATGTTTCATCTAGTTAATTGGCTGTCAAATACCATCAAACATAGGTATGTTTTATCTAGTTAATTGGTGGTCAAATACCATCAAACATAGGTATGTTTTATCTAGTTAATTGGCTGTCAAATACCATCAAACAGGTATGTTTCATCTAGTTAATTGGCTGTCAAATACAATCAAACAGGTATGTTTCATCTAGTTAATTGGTGGTCAAATACCATCAAACAGGTATGTTTCATCTAGTTAATTGGTGGTCAAATACCATCAAACAGGTATGTTTCATCTAGTTAATTGGTGGTCAAATACCATCAAACACAGGTATGTTTCATCTAGTTAATTCGTGGTCAAATACCATCAAACAAGGTATGTTTCATCTAGTTAATTGGCTGTCAAATACCATCAAACAGGTATGTTTTATCTAGTTAATTGGTGGTCAAATACCATCAAACAGGTATGTTTCATCTAGTTAATTGGTGGTCAAATACCATCAAACTGGTATGTTTCATCTAGTTAATTGGCTGTCAAATACCATCAAACACAGGTATGTTTCATCTAGTTAATTGGCTGTCAAATACCATCAAACAGGTATGTTTCATCTAGTTAATTGGCTGTCAAATACCATCAAACAGGTATGTTTCATCTAGTTAATTGGCTGTCAAATACCATCAAACAGGTATGTTTCATCTAGTTAATTGGCTGTCAAATAACATCAAACATAGGTATGTTTCATCTAGTTAATTGGCTTTCAAATAACATCAAACAGGTATGTTTCATCTAGTTAAATGGCTGTCAAATAACATCAAACATAGGTATGTTTCATCTAGTTAATTGGCTGTCAAATACCATCAAACAGGTATGTTTCATCTAGTGAATTGGCTGTCAAATACTATCAAACAGGTATGTTTCATCTAGTTAATTGGCTGTCAAATACCATCAAACAGGTTTGTTTCATATCTTAATTAATACATTTTTGCAGCATAGCATGTAGGAAATTGCAGGTCACATCATTTGCTTTCAAATTCTCAGCAAAAAGCAAGAACTTCGGCTGAGATCATTTAAATTGTATATTATCTTTTTTGTAAATCCAGATTACCAGGTATCACAGAGATATTGGAAACACGAAATGTATTCGCCATTTTTTATTACACATACTTCATTATAAGTATGATAGCTTCCAAGAAAAAATTTTTCATGCCTTTTTATATCAGCAGAAGCTGGCCTTGTTAGACAATGTAGAATGTAAGCATTGACAGTGGTTACTTCAAGGATCCAGTAGGAAATTTTTTACACCATTGTCTTGTTTTCATGGTGTGGACACCATAGTAAGCGATCATTTGATCAGCATGATCACAACCATTCATTTTGAAATTAAACTCATGAATGGCTGCAGGCTTTACCTTGTAATTTTGTGTTGTTGCGTCATCAACTATGGCTATATTTGAAGCCATTATGACAGGTTTTTTTGCCTTTTTGTCCTTCCATGACACACAAAAGCATCCAGTATCAGCTTTCCATATGCTGAAGCTTATTTAGTTTCAAGGCTTTAGGAAAACCCACTCTGTTGATCAGCACAGTACCAGTATAGTAAATTTTCTTGCCCATTGGATGGTTAATTAATAAGTGCTTGGTAGTGGACCATCTATCAGCAAATATGTGGTATCCTTTACCTATTTGATTTAGCTGAGTGTCAAATATCGTGATGGCCATTCCATTGTTGAGGCCAGTGTCAGGGTCATATGATGTTTGCGATCTGTAATATGTCAAAATGTTCAGGACATAACCAGTCACACTGTCAACTGAGCCAAAGCTTTTTATATGGTACTTGTGTGCCTTAATATTGTTTATAATTTCACCTGCCTTTCCACCAAATTATCATTTTATCAACCCACACTGACTGGTAAAAGATTGTTGGTATTTCTTGGTAAGGGAATAAACAAAAGGTTCTATTTTATTCTTGCCTTCAGCATCAGGCTTCCCAACATGCAGCATGGAAGAGTAAAGTGTCTCAAACCTTTCTCTGGGAAACATTTTATGAAAAAAATCCTGTGTAGGCCTACATAATGTCTGTATAACTAAAATAGTCCCTGAAAGTAGGCCAGTTGTCAATTCCCATTACAATTGTCACAGCCAAAAGTTTATTCCACATGGTGGTTGAAATTAGTCCATGTAGATTTACTTAACCTTGATCTTGGCAGCGGTGGTGTGTTTTTTATTATTTTAAGTTCTGCATATTTATTTATTGCTGAAAGCAGTTCATCAACAATAGTTGGTGTCAAGAGACTGCAAACATTGCAGTGGAGTAGAAGATTTATTCAAACCAGCTGCAGGGTTTACACCTGGTTCTAGACAATGCTTTAGTAAGAATGTAAATGCATGTTTTGTAGATGATTTATCTACAAACTGTTGCTCAATCCACTGATTATTATTGGTATTAGTAATTTGATTTTCCAAGCGAAAGTCTCGAAAGTCTCGCTTTAACTGGAATTAGAACTGGTTTCTAAATCACTCCCTGAATCACATTCTGGCACTACTGGCACAACTGTTTTCAACTTCAAAAACCATTTTTTCTGGCCTGATCTGCAGTAAAATGACGAGGTGGTCCAGACCCTGACGAAGAAGCTTTTTCTGCCATGTAAACAAATCATTTTTGCATGACTTATTTTTTTTTTAAATAGTTCTCTATCAAAAAGTGATCCATTGTAAACTTAAGTCAAAATGGCTGCTCTAGCTATCCTGTGGATCATTTAAACGATTAAAATCTTGAATGAAGAACAAGAGCGGAATTAGTTCAGAAATTACCATTGACCGCTGGGAGCGTCATTATGATATGGCAGGCCAGCAGACTGACTGTTGGGAGCGTTGTTACGGTCAAAGAGTAAGATCTACATGACTATACCTAAGCTAGGACACAGTAAGTTCATGTTAGCCTATATGGCTTGCAAAGACAAAGACAGGCTAATGAATGGTCATTTTTAGTCCCAGAAAAGATATCTAAAAAATTACTTAAATTTGATGCCAATATGGTTATGTCTTTACCATGTTTTAGTTATACGATTTACAAATCTGGAAAAAAAAAATTTCTTCTCTAATAACAAAATTTGACAACAACCAAGAAAAGTTGCACCCATGGATATTTTAATGCATTGCAGTTTTTTTTAGATGAACAAGACTTCATATTTTGTACTTGAAATGAGAAAAATCTTACCATCAGCAGTGTATGTTATTTTACAAGTAATATGATCTCTGGTTATGTTGCCATCAGCTGGGGGCTCAATGATAGTTTCACAAATCAATGCCACGTTCATTGTGATGCGAACATACTTGATAGGCTGTAAATAAAGAATACAATTAGAGACTATGTAGAGCCAGTCTTAATCACATGTCTTCTGCATTTCTTCAAGGTACACTAAAAAACATTGTCATTACTTCATCACTTGATTACCACTACATTTTTTACAGGTACAATGAATAACAATGCCAGTATTTCATCACTTACTGACCAATACATTTCTCCATGTTTACTGAATAACAATGTCAGCACTTCATTACTTACTGACCAATACATTTTTCCTTCTATACTGAATAAATGTCAGCACTTTATTTTACTGACCACTACATTTTTTCCAGGTACATCAAAAACAATGTCAGTACTTCATTAAAATACTAACCATTACCTTTTATTCAGGTACACGGAACAATAATGTCAGCACTGAAACAGGACAAATGAGTGTGGGATATACATTCTAAAATACTTACTGCACACTCAGGGTGCTCACAAGAATAATTGACAACGATCCAACAATCCGGCCCCTCATCCTTCTGCTTAGAGATGTGTCTGATGTGGGACCAAAAGCATGCATCTCTCTGGGAGGCTGGCCAGACACGTTTAATCACATTGTTGCTGATAAATGTATCATCTGATAACCACTCCACCACACGGCTCAAGTCTAGTGTGGCTGGAAGAATACAGTCAAGTTTTATCACCTTAAAACATCATTGTAATCTAGTGGCTAAATGAAAGGTACTTTAACTTAAATGATATACAATGCTAATTCAAAGTAACTAGAATAAAAAAAACATTAAACCACATCACATTTCTTTTATCTGATTTTTTTCTCCATTATTTTTAGGGGTCATCCATTATGACATCCACAGAGGGAGGGAGGGGGGGAAGGTCCAAAAAGAAAAAATTTTGTGGACTGGGGGAGAGGAGGGGGTTGGGTCAGTGTGATGTCTATATGTTGAATTTAACATCTAAGTGCTTACATTCTAAGACAAGCAAAAAAACTCATATCCTGCATGTAAAGAGTAAAATTAAGACAACAGTGCTCATGTTTTAAAAAACCCACCCCAACTTGTAAAAAAAGCATGGTATTTAAATTTAGACTCAGGTTATCTTTATCATTAACGACACCATGATTTTTAACAGTTTTACCCAAATGTCACAAAAAGAGGGCCTAACACCTAAAATCAATTCACACCTCAGCCTAAAAATATTGCAAAGTGTGTCGTTACACTTTCTGAAACCCTCTTCTGCCCCTCCAGATTGTTAGCCATTTATGAAGGAGCTTTATTACAAATAGAGCCTTCTGTGGTATACAAAAATAGAGGCCATGAAGTCATGGATGCCTTGCAACTTATTAACCTAATAAATGCTGATAGTATTTATAGAAATCCATCCAACAATTATGGAGAATAATAATGTTAGTAGTCTTTTCCCATCCACACACAAAAAGTGTTTAATACTTGTGCAGTCTATAGGGCAAGTGAAGTAGAGTTCACTTGTTTCTGTGACCTCGGCATATGAAGAGATAGTGTGGTCAGCACTATGCCCAGCCGCCTTTACTTTCCCTATTGTGAGTTAGGTACCCATTAGAGTTGGGTGGACTCAGGGACGGTCTACTAACTTGAACCCGGATTCGAAATCGAGATTTACGGGTTAGAAGTCCAGCTCTCTACCGGTTGACCACTCCGTCTAAATGTGGATGTCTAAAATCCTACATTTTTGCGAATGACCCCCTAATCATACACATTTTTGTAGTTCCAGCTTTCTACACATCATTTGGAAAGTCTAAATTCTATACGTTAAGAATTAAATATGTAACAAAGAAAAATTACCTTCCCATTCCATTCTGGTATCAAAAGCCCAAAAATACTGACAAACTTCATGACCTGTAATACCCTGCAATAAACAAAATAAAAACTGGTCAAATTATTTAAAGACAAATGTTTCTATGAGCTAACCCTTGTTAACACAATAATAATTATAAACATAGTCAAAATAATAACAGCAAGTAGACTTGATGAAAATCTTACTTTAACAGTACAGACAGCTTTCATTGGATCAATAGGAACACCATTTTCTTCCAACTCTCTTTTGAAAACTTTGAGGTCCCCTTGATCAGCAATACAAACCCAATCAACCTTGTCCTCAACTTGTTCCGTCATAAGGCGCCTCATGTGATTGCTCACAACTTCATTGATCTGCACATACAAAACATTTTATTTACCTGTTTATATTTTTGCGAACAAGTTATTTGAGTTTTCAAAGCCTGAACTGATGCAACTAGAACTTAAAAACAAGGAAATTTATTTTTAACCATTACATTTTTAATGCATCTCTTTCATCATTAACATACAATAAAGTTAGGTACTCAAATGTTAGTCAGAGAAAGACAAGTATAATTATTTCTTGAGTAATACATTAAATTAGGACAATAATTTGGCTATATGACTTGATAGACCAACAGTAAATAAACTTTAAAGACTTAAAGCATTTACCTCATTATAAAAATGATGTGATGGTGATAATGATATTGCATGGTCCGGTTTGTTTGCAGATTCTGCATTCCATTTTTGCTAAAAAGAAATGTTGAATGAAGATTTTAACAGAGGCAGAAACACATAATTGCAAAAAAAATACAAAAGCAAAAAGCAACTGCCTTTTTATAAACATCTAAGAAATCCATCTATCCTTGCTCCTAAACTACAGTTAAAACCAGCAAAGAAATTCTTACTTTCTCCTCTTCTTTCTCTAGTTTGTCTAGTGTGGCATCTACAGCATCATAAAATTCATCTTCAGGAATTAAGCAGTGTGGTCCTTCCTGTAAAAAACAAAATTTATAGCAGATTTACACAAAGGTATTTGACACTAGAACGTTACTTTACTCACTCTTATCTTAGTAATAATTTTTTAATCACTAGAGTGAGACAACATCTGTAACGTCACAGATTTTCCATGCACGTGTTTACACATCGTGGCAAGCCACAAAAGAGAATGATTACATAAATTGCCAGTTCAAAGCCTAGGCTCTCACTGGGACTAAACAAACAACTAGCTGTTGGTGATTACTGTTATTCACCTACCTCATAATCTGGTCCTCCTACTATTAGTTTCTTGGTCTTGTCAGATATTAAAGCTTTGTTAGCCTCTTCAAATTTTTTCCTTTTATCAACTTCCTGTAAAATATATTTTTATTTTCAGTAATGTTCAAAAAATAATTTTAGGAGAAAATATAACAAGTTGTTGAAATTCTAATAAGCTGTAAAAACAAAGCCACCCCTCTTACTTACCCTGTCTAATCTTTTCTTCCAAGCTTCTTCTCGCTGCCCCATAAGCTCAATACAGTGTGACATGGTGGCAATGATGCCAGCAGTGGTAGCCTTAAATGTGAAAGCTTCACCTTTGAAATCAACAGCATGTCCTCCATGTTGTTGGAGAATGGAAGCTAAAACAAAAAGAAATCTTTTTCTTTAATTTAGCTTTGAATTTAATTCCAACAAGAATACTATTACCACCTTAAAACATTCACATATCAATTACTTTTAGTTACTGCTTTAAAACAGAAGTAGAAAGATCATTCTATTCAACCTATAAAGCTCATCAAATAATATAATGCTCCATACAACTTACAAGTAAATAATAGTACAAGGCAATATTTTAGTATTTCATTACTAACCAAGATCTTTGCCCCTCAGGCCTTCAAGACGATGATGATGGTGTACATCATGATTAGAGGCACTGTGTGGTACGTCAAGGTCGTCATCAATATCATCATGCTCAGATACTGAAACCATTTTAAAACATTGAATCTGTTATTTAAAACACAAACTGTAAAAAGGAACTGGACAAAATGAACACAGGTTATACACTTATAACTTTAGCAACATCCTACAGCTCAATGTAATGAACATAAGTAAAGTATCCTTGCTGCCTTTACTTTCATTAACGTTAGTCAGGTTGGGTGAACTCAGGGACATCTTATGGACTCAAGCCTAGAATCAAAATTTGAGACTTTCAAGTTTATAGTCTAATGCTCTACCATTCGACCTGCTGCCCCTTATTCCATTATACAAAGCATTAACAGTTGAGTAACTAATCTAAAATTTATTTCAAATATATTGACAGAAATTTCATAACTAAAAAAAAAATACTTTAAACTGAGGTCAGTTAGAAAACCAGGAAGTAACACAATGATATAGTTACATTCTTGAACAGCTCCATGTGTAACAGCAGATGCACAAGAGTCAAAATAGCTTTGCAAGGTGTCAATTTGACGACACAAAATATCCCTGAAAGTCTCCATTTCAGCCAGCTTTTCTTTTAACCCCCGTCCACGCTGTAATGTAAACACAATTGTTGATTATCAGCAATGATTGATGACGATGATAGACTAGAAAAACTATGAAGTTACCAAGTCATTTTAATCTCTTCAGTAGTGTACACAACATCAATAAAGTTAACCTTTGTTAGCAAGACTAACAAGTTGATATTTAATAGTGACACATAATAAGACACATTCAGCACAGCATTTAGAAACTTCACTTTAGACATTTTTTCTTTGAACTATTTTAGAAGCTGCAAAACTACACCACATATAAAAATGCAGACTATTATGTAACAAAAAGCAAGACATGTAAAAATCCTAACCTTAAATGATGAAGTTGAGGCCTGGGAAATGCTGGTACCTGATGCCAAAGACAGCATTGATCCATGTCGACGCAAGTTATTTTCACTTCCATAACTTGAGTCTGCCTGCTGTAATAAGAAGACTTCTTAGTTTTTCATATACTTTTTACTTTCCCATATACAGAGTATTGGGAAAGCACTGTAATCAATCTAAAAACTGAAAATGAGAATTTGACAAATCTTGACTTTTCCCCTTCCTGAGTTAGAAAATCCCAGTTTTGAAATCCAATGTACTAGTAACTCAATATACAAATACTGCAACATACTGGCATTGTTATAGCATATTTCTATTCTTCACACACACATAAATAAGACATGCCAAAAGAAACAGTTGCAAGTTTTAATAAAAAGTAATAGCACTGAAATAACTTTGTGTTACTAGAAACTATTGGAAGTAGCTCATTTACTGTTTTCATTCAAGAAAAATTATAATTTTTTCTTTTAAAAGCTTGTATTTTAAAATCAATTTATCTATGTATTTGATTTAGTAAAAAAAAAACCTTATTTTTATTATTTTTCCCATTAGCCTAATAATTGGTTTCATTACAAAAATGTCTATGTATTATTACCTCCATACTAATGACTGGCATTTTTTAAAACTACGGTGCTCAAGCTTGCAGATTTTTATAAAGTCTAACCTGCTATGGGTTGTGTCTAGTTAAAACTAGGCTATGGTTCCTAAGGTTGTATTGTAATTTGAATAAAATTTAATGCAACTAAACAAATATAATTAACATTGTACAGACTGAAGAAAATGTTTAAATTACTTTATAAATTGGTTTTATTTATATTTACTATTACTTTGATTGCTTTACAGTGAATGTTTGATTAAATATGGAGAAGTTTTAAATCAGATCATGGCTCGATAGTTACTTTTAATTAATGTTTAGAGCAAACAATAATATTAGGCTATAAGGATATTGCAACTGTAATAAAAATGGGTTTATAGACACAGTCACTTACAATACTTATTTTACCTTGTTAAGTGTTTTGAACCCAAATAGTACAAAAGAGCCTAAATTTTAATCATCTTTGGAAAAGAGAAGGGCAGGTTGATTTTATTTTAAAAGTATTTATAGAAGTTTATAGCAACAAAACTGGTACATGTTTTTAAATTAGCAATACTTCTTACCTTGTGTAATTCTATAGCATCTATCCAGGTATGTCTTTCTTCAGGTGTTGATGCTCTCAAGTACCATACATTGTCATTGACACTTACATCAAAGCGGCACTCATCAAACTGGTGAGGCTGAAATATTTAATGAATAATAAGTTTAAGTAATCAGAAAACATAAAATGTAGGTGATATAAGCTTTCTGTCTAAAGAGCATCACTTGGTTTGCAACAACACTATTACTATTACCATACAAAATCGTAAGGGTTTACATGTGGCATAACTATAGGCATATATAGGCAAGAGGTTAAATTCTTATAACTGAAATGTGGTCTTCAGCCTTAATAATATAATTACAGCTGAAGATTGAGTAAGCCTCAGGTGTACCTATGTAAAAAACTAAAACCCATGTAGTTTTAGCTGATTAGCTAATTAAATTAAAATTTGACAGCTGTGTAGGGGAAGCTGTGTATTAATTAATGACTTCAATAAGAATAATGCTTTGGAATTTTTGTGCAGAGGGTGCAAAGGTTGCAGTTGGCGGGGAAAAGGAGCCAGTGTGTGAATTTGGGGAATTTATTTTTGGAAATATAGCATATACAAAGTTTCCGATGAAGAAGTCTTATGCCTGACGACTCAGCTAAGAATATTTATTTATCTGTGCCCAAATGCTACAAGAATAAACTTCTGCTGCTCCTCATTATAAACAAGTTAGTAATGAATCAGCATACTTTCTAAATTAGTGTCATTTGTAAAATGCATATATAAAAGAATTTTCTCAAAACCTGACCAGACATATCAACTAGACATACTGTCAAATTAAGACCTGCAGCGAACCATAACGCAACAGCTTATTGACATCAAACATACCCTGAGAAGAGGAAAACTTGGCGAGGCAAGCATTAAAACAGTTGGAACGTCCAAGAGAAAAGAAAAGTAGGCCGCCAAAGGCAACACTGGAGACTCAGAATGAGAGTCAAAGGAGAGGTGTAGCTGGCTGCAGCCCTTTGCTCCTCTGGGGCTCAAAAGGAATAAGTCAAAGTCATCAGAAGAGTATTACAACTACCTGCACAAATCATCCCTCACCCACTTCTGAGCAATTCTCCCACCCCTTCCCCTCCTAAAAACTGAAGTAAAATATTAACTCCTGAAAAATACAAATTAATCCTAAACCTTACATTTAGGGCCTAATGTAGCTGTAACAGTAGATATTATACTTATCGGCTTAGAGGTAAGGTTTATGATATGAATTTACTGGATGGAATAAACTATTTTACCATAAGTTTTCTTTCACTTTGATTGCTGCATAAAAAACAGACTGTTCAGGTAAAAGGGCTAAAATGTTGTAAATTTTCCCAAAATGCCTAGTTGTAGGCTTATAAATATGACATGTTATGTAGGTGTGAACATTAAAGTATAATTAATATGTTTCATGTGGATGTTTCAGGATTAAATTATCCTGTGGCATGTTTTGTGTTCTAGATATGAATACTGTACATTTCACAAGTGTAAACGGGAGAATGTTTACAGCGGTGTCCGATAATGGAATCTTCTTTAAAAAAGGGGTGTTAGTGTTAGGTTACTGGTAGTTAACTAAATGCACACATTGCTGGCTAATGTAAATGCTAACCCTGTCCCTAACCCTAACCCTGGTCCTACCATACGCCTAACCCTAATTTCTAACCATAAAATTAGTCGAGATTACAATACTACTAACAACCCAACAACACCCCTTTTTAAAGAAGATTCCATTAACGGACACCTGTATCTATAATCATCCGTGATGGGATTATTATTCAAATATCTTGGGGTCCTAGTTCAGCCGAACTTTATGCTCTACTCTACCAAATTATAACTAAAAAACAGTAAGCCTTCATTCTTGTCAAGTCTTGTGAGTAAGCCAGAGCCAGAGCAAAGCTGGGTAATCTATCGTTTTAGCGTAATCAATTCGGCTGCAGTAGTAATGTGCGGGAGAGGTAACTGATGAATATATTTGTTTAAATGAGTATATTTAAGTCAAATTTTACAAAATATAACAGATACTTGATTAAAAATAACAATCAGTGACCAAAACAATTTAAAATATCATGAAACTAACTTTAAACTAGGTGTTTGAGATAAATATTAGTAGATAAAAACAGCGGCCATCTTTCCAAATAAAATTTAGAGTAGTTTCCCTTGATACAAATGTCTATTCGTATGTATATTGTGTTGACTTTGTTGTTTAATACGTATAGTTGTCTTGTTTAATATAAGTAGGACAGAGGGCCATCTTCTTATCTTTAATTTCAATTGAAATGAAGGCTTTTGGGAGGTCCATCATTTATTAAACCCTTTTGTACTGATGAACTTGTCAATTATTAGGTCGTCCATATTCTTCATAAATGACGTTGGACTCAAAATATGGGAGGGGATAAAATATTTTTTTTAAAAATGATGAAGAATATATTCGTTTTCGTTAGAAATTGTGATTAAGCGTTCGGGTATAGTAGAACTGCGATATGATATTAAATCATCATCTTGCTTTTAGTGACGATTGGGGGAAAGGGAATTCATCGGAAAAAGTATGACGTCATTTATGGACAGGACCGGCGCTACCTATAAGGCGAACTAGGCTGTCGCCTAGGGCGCTGTCCGTAGGCGGGGGGGGGGACGGGGGGACGGGCGCCAAAATGGGTTGGAAAAACAAATTGAAAGTTTGAGGGGGGGTGCAAATCGAAAGCTTGTCCCCGGGCGCCGGGAAGGGTCGCTACGCCTCTGATAATACGGGGGCATGAAAAAAATTGCAGATGTGGGGGGGGGGGGGCTGTTATTATTTAAATAACCTGGCGCCGGCACTGTTTATGGGTGATCCATTTAAGCCTATTTGTTTATTTTGTCTGTAGACATTAGTCTTAGGCCTACACTTTTTCTGAATTAAGATTATTGTCTTTATAAAAATAGTTTTAAATTTTACATAGTTACATCTGAATACCACATGGTTTTTTTTTTCTTTGCCTTCTGCTTTCATCAGTTTTTTTTTATTTGTTCAATAGTCGATGTTTACCCCTCCCCACCATCCATTATTAAAAAAACAAAAAACACCCACTATATAGTGATATCTCCCTATAGAAAAAAAAAAACTAGATCAACCTATAGTTCGTAGGAAAATTAGAATCTATCACTTATTCGTCTGTTAAAAAAAAGAAATACGTCATTTTTCTCAACCCCGCCGTTTCACCCCCCACTTAGCACAACGTCACCAAGTTCGCGGCGTGCGTGACGTCATTTGTCATTAGGCTAATGTTAAAGAAAGAGATACCGCGTAATTTAAAAAAAAAGTCAAAACAGGCTCTATGGCGTTGAGACTTTAGCGACGTTTAGTCTGACGAATAGATCTAAATGACTTTAGTACGGTATATTATATTGGTGTTTAATTTATTACAGTGGCATGCGGTGCTCCCTCTACTACACAAATTCACGTGCTTTTAATTTTTGCAACATGCTGCCCTGAGACGTTCGGCTCTAAAATGCCCGTGACACAGCGGCTTCGGTAAATGCATTTAGGCTCCCGGTCCCACCTATAAACTTCGTCTGCCCATTAAGCTCCACGCAAAACTTGTGATTGATATGTGGACATAAGCGGCGATAGTGGTGGTGTCAACAGGGACCCCCTCTCCAAGCTCAGCTCTAAAAGGTGCTCCGCACTTCATAAAAGACAAACTTGATGTTCAGACATCGTCGGACTCGGGCGTTTAGCCGACTGCCGTATTCTTAATGCACCGTCCACTGCTAACACTATTTCTATACTAAACTCAAGCCTATACTGAGCTCTGGCTTTTTACATTAGCTGCTGTCGTATTAAGGGCTGATTTTTTGTTATGCCCCATGTCGCGAAACTTGCTGTTTTGTCCAATTTTACCTGCAAGTCAATAATTGTCTTGGATTCTTGTCGAATATCGTTCCAGGAGCTAGTTGGTTTGAACCTTATTATTAGGAGTTATTTCATTCGGAGTCAATGTAGTGCGGCCTATTTTCGTCGGTAGGCATTTAGTGGCAGGCCCTTTTTGGCGGAAATGGTGTGCTGAGGTTGTTTAACACCGCTTAGGACAACAGGCTTGCAACAGTTATCAAAGTTATCATCATTCGTTGTGAGCAAAGGTATGCATGAAAACGAACGCTTTATGTTCCTCATTTTCATTGAGCACAGCTTTATAGAAGTCTTCCATAATTGACGTCACTCATCCCCCCCCCCCCCGATCATCCCTTCATTATAGGTCATAAATTGCAGTCCTACGTAAAATGACGTCACATTAGAATAGCATATGTGACATCGTTTATGGACAACCCCATATTTCTCATTTTGGATATTTGGTATCAACATTTTGACAACAAAGGTTGTTCAAAATGTGTATTGGAGGTTAGGACTTGACATCTACCATAAATGACATCACGCACTTAAGGGGTGGAGTAACTGGTTTTGAGACGACGTTTTACGCGGGAAAGGGGAGGGTTAAGAAACGTGAAACGTTATGTATTTGGCCTAATACAAAAATGCTGAAACAATTCTTTTTCGTTCGAATTATGGCTTGACTTTTTAACAGTAATAACAGGCAGGGCAAAAAGGTAATTTTCGACATTACGACTATTTCGTGACGGC